GAGAGAGAGAGAGAGAGAGAGAGAGAGAGAGAGAGAGAGAGAGAGAGAGAGAGAGAGAGAGAGAGAGATGGTGGCAGTAGCACGGCAGTAGCGACTTCGAAGCACATGGTGGAGTGATGGCGGAATTAGGGCGGCGGCCTTCGAAGCGCGTGGAGTGAAGGTGGGCTTTTCGGAATGGCCCCATCCGCCCTCTCCGCCCAACAACCGAGAGCGTGAAAGCAACGGCCCTTCCTGAATGAAAACAAGCAGCGAAAAGAAAAAAAAAAAGGACCCTAACTCAAAGTCCTTTTGGCCCGCGTCCGGTCACAAAAAAAAAAAAAAGAAACAGCCTCAAACAGGCCTAAGAAACCTTGGAAACATTCTTAGGGGCTCGGCATCGATGTTAGGAAGGACCCTGGGCGCCCCCCCTGTTTTTTTTTTTTGGCCGAATTTCGGAGGTTCCGGACCTTCCAGACCGGACGTCTGAAGTCTGGTCTGGATCCAGACCGTCTGGATTGTAGCCCCATGGTTAGAACACTGTCCATGGCCAGAGACCACAGGCACACAGTGTCATGACCAGTGGAGAGACCTACAGCATGTGAGCAATCAATTTTCCACAGTCGCACAACCATCTATGACAAAATAGACGCAGCACGGGAGCTGCTGTTCTTTCAGTGCACGTCTCCTCCCCCCACCCTCCCAAAAGCATGTTTTGTTTTTTTTTGTTTTGTTTTTGGGGGGGGGGGCGCGCGGGGGCACACTGAAATTCAAACCATGGCATGTGGGTTACCCACAAGGCTCCACAACAACCGAGTTCATAACAAATGCCTCTTTTTCCTTGTTCTTTTGTTTTCAAACAGTCCGGTCCCTAATAGAACACCCGGTCCTGATCGCTGTACGTAGACTGAAAATTGCCCCGAATACAGCCATAATGACAGTGCGCTCTATTTGGGTGAAGATGGTAGGGTGGGGGGGGGTTAACAAGACCTGTCCACAAGAGTTTACAGATTCTCGCCTGTGCACACATACATGCACTGATATGACAACCTTGTTCGTTATTGCAGATACAAGTCCGAACTCGAGCTCAAGCTCAAGCTCATTGTGGATTGATACGAGTTCGAACTCAAGCTCAAGCCAGTCCTACCCCCTATCATTCCCTCCACGTATGTGCATGGATTTGAGCTGAGTCAGTTCATGCCCTCTCTAGTTGGTTATTGCATTATTAATTTATTTAGAAAAAAAATATCGACCTGCTCTTTTCTTAACCCTGTCAAAGTTTTATTCTCACTACTCTACTCCGACGAATATAGCTTATTTAAAGAAGAAAAAAATAAAGAAAAATAAATATCCAAGGCCGATTGCTAATCCAGAGAAGCTTCCAGAATAAACACACCTCTTTGCTAGCCAGAAAGGCCCGATAAACAGACCGCTGCTCATCTGTGAGGCTGCAGAATAGTACATGCTCTGTCTTTTTGGGAAGCTGAGCCTGAACGTCGGACTTCATCCTCCTGAGAAGGTAGGGCATGATCAAATCTCGAAGAACAACTGCACATTTATACGCCGTTGATACCTGAAACACAACCGACACGCAAAAAGTTGGAAGGGCAAAAAAAAAAAGAAAAAAAAGAAAAAGAGAGACCGTCAATGGGGGCCCTGCACCGCAAAAAAACAAAGCAAGGGAAAAAAAGAGGAACAAGAAAAAGAGAGAAATAAGGAAACAAATTCTCAAAATGCCCACGAACCTGACAGTAACTCTGACCAGATTCATTCTTACGACAGGCACATCTGTCCACAGCCGGTCATTTCTGCCCCATCAAGTCACACACGCATTAGTCATGACCTAGAGACGGGGGAAGTACCAAACACAGACAGTGTCTGAGCGATGACCCCCACAAACCTGACAGTAACTACGACCAGATTCATTCTTCCATACAAGATATCTCCACTCAATATAGGGTCTGGAAGCTAAGAGATTTATGCAGGCAAATTCTGTAACCACGCCTTTCTGAAATAAAATTGGTGTGTGACAAAACCAACCAACCCACCTCACCCCACGCCACCCAGCCAACCAAATGACCATACAGCCGAATGAGGGGGGGGGGGGAAGAACCCATGTGAGGCCATTTAATAAAATCCCAAGTCAACCCCACCCCAGCCCACCCCTTAGGGGTTTGATTTTCAGATTTAAAAGCATGTGGCCTGCAGCCTAGGTAGTCTTTTTGAACTCCCCGCGCATCCTGGACAATATTTTTTGCCAGTATAAATGGACACCACGGCTAGCTTTCCCTGGCCAGCTGACCTTGCCGCAAAAACAAGGTACCCCTTGCTGAGAACAGCCTGAAGCAGGGGCCCGGTTTCACTCCACTGCCAACGAGGGGGGAGACGCTCATGGGCTACTAGCAGGACAACACAATGGTTATTTGTACTTATCACAGAAGCAGGCATAGATTGGAGGTGCAGCGGTACAACGATTTCGCAAAGACAAAGAATGGTCGCTATCAGTACCCATTAATCCAGCGGCCTTGCTCAGTTGGTTAGGCATGCAAGTGGCATTCAGGAGGTTGTGGGTTCAAGCCCCATGGCCGCCTGCGGCGCACTTAGTGCCAACGGACTGTGATAGTTTTCTGGATACCCCTGATTGGTATTAGCGGGGTCTATGACCAACACGGGTGTGAGTGTGAGCGCGAGTGGGTTGTGTGTGGTGTGTGGGAGAGTGTTGRCCATAGCCTCTGCTGCTACTCGATGAAGGGTGGGGGACGATGAGAAAGGGAGGCACAGCTACTGGCAGGTCTCGGTCTTTGTGTTAGCCAGACCCCCACTGGCGGCGCCAACCCTATACCCTAACCATTAGGGGCAAGGGGCAACATGAAATCTCCCCTTCACAGAGAGAGGAAACTATGCTTGCAGGGGTCCCCTCTAGATAGTCTTAGGAGTAGGTAGTGGAAGGTAAGAGAAACAGAAGTTGAGAGAAGAATATAGAAAGAAAAAAAAAAAAAGAATTTCTCTGAATCTCTGATGTTTGCTTCCCCCTGACTTAGGGAAGATGAAAAAA